ATATATAACACATTCATTTATACATAATAACACATTGATTTCAAAAAAAGAAAATGAAAAAATAACTAAATAAATAATACAATTAAATTTAAAACAAGCTTTTTTTTTTTTTTTTTTTTTTTTTTTTTTTTTACCACTCGATTGCGTTTAATGTGGTTGATCATGTGCTCGCAGGCCTGTTTCAAGGTATCCAGCATTTCCAAAGGTATATTAAACCGATTTTTGATGTCGTTATTGGAGGTCTGTACGATGGGAAGAGGGTTTTTTTCTCTTCACTTGCTAAATCTAAATCAAAGCTCTTTGCTTTTTTACGGTGGGGATTATTCAATTCCACATCTTCATCGTCAAGCAAGTTAATGTGTCTTTTCACTTTACAGTCTAAAAAAATAATTTAAAACTACACATACTATGAACGAAATTCTAGGGAGGCAGAAAAAAAAAATAGTTTTTTGAAAAACATAGCGCAAAGCATAAAATAAAAATGTCTTACCATTGCTCGTCGAAGCTGAAGTTTCCATTGTGTCAGGAACTGCAAATCAAACGAGTGAAGGAATATGTTTTTCGTTGCGAATTTTTCTCTTTAAATACGCTATTCGTGTCCTAATTTCCCTCGTCGCCTCTCCAGTACATTTATATGCTTACTTTTTTCCCCTCACATATTATTTCTATTACCAAGAAAAAGGAGTTGCTAAACTTTATTCAGTGACCCACATTTTTTTCGCATTCGACCCAATAGATTGACCCCCGCGCTAAAACTAACTGCTTTCGTTTTCCATACTTGAGGTTTCCCCTCTCCCTCTTTGCGACCTCCATTCGCGTTCCCTCTATGCAACTTCGATGGCACATTCAAAGAAGGAAGAAGGAAAAAAAACAACCCTCGTTTCCACATCTTTTTATGTTCCCACGTCCTCGGAATACTCATCTGTTTTGATAACGTGTGCGCTCCCCTGCAATCTTTAATTTCTCTAGGAGAAAAAACGTGCGTCCTCCTTTTTTATTATTTTTAAAGTTTTTTTTTTTACTCTTTTTCCATAAGTAAAATAAATCATGTCATATGTCAATCACAAATTAAGAACCGTTCCTTCCTGTAATCTAAATTCTCTCGAGTTTTTTTTTGGTCCTCATTCTTTTTTAAACCTTTTTCCTTCCTCCTTTTAAAAACGTTTTCTGTTCTTTTCCGAAAGTAAAAAAAAAATACCATATATCATTCTGTCATTATACTCATATAGACTTAATAAAGAACCACACCAATCTAGTTGTCATCCTTTTAACAAAAAAACATCCTGTAATCTAAATTCGTTCGGACGTGTGTCCTCATTTTTTTTCCTCTAGTTCTAAAACTCGATTTTTCCTCCTTCCTTTTTCCAAGGGAAGCGAATAATTATTATCACATAGCGTCTCATCATTATATATATAAACGTGTCAACTCGATACCGAATTAAAACAATGTATATACACCAAAACATCATAAAAGCATATCTTTCGTTTCAGAAAAGTAGGATCATAAAATCACAAAAAAAATATATATATGACATGACTAAACATTTCAAAATCATAATAATCTGAAATTATTACGTATTTTAACTCATCTCCGACAACAACTGCCTGGCACACATCCACATATCCTCCGATTCCTTACACACCTTCGACACCCCACCCCTTGATGTATGTTTCCGTTCAAAACTCATGTGCAGCAGCACTCTGACCTGGAACACATGAATCATTTGCACTACAATTTCTTGTGGATCGAAGTGGATAATGAATGGCCTTAGAACATTCTGTGGTCTGACGAAGCTCACTTCCATTTGCAAGGTTCTGTAAATACGCAAGATTGCAGGATATGGGAGACCAAGAATCCGTTCCCACTACAGCCATTACCTCTTCACTCTGTTTGTTGTTGGTCCATTCTTCTTCGAGGAGATCACACTTGTGGGTCCCTTAACTTGCACCATTACTGGCAAGCAGTATGATGCATTTTTGCATAACCATGTCCTTCCAGCACTTCAGCAATGTCAATGTATGGATCACTTAGAAGGAAAGCATCATGCACCACATTCATAGCATCAGCACAGATACCTTCCGATCTGTTGTAGAACATGAAATTCTGTGCTTCCAGAGCAGCGGAACAAGAAGGAAAGCATATCGAACAACTTATGAATTAATCATCCGTAAGGTGTTTGTTTCATGAAACTTCTCTTGTCACTCTTGCTGTTTTCTCTGTAAATACATATTCTTGTTTTTTTGCTAATAAAGTTGCCATAAACACTTGGAGTCTATTGTTTCCTTTTGGCTATACATCTACAACAGCAATGTGAACACTGACAGCACCATCTATCGATAAATTTTAGAACTATTGTTTTTCCTTCGCCAAACAAAATTCCATTACCTCAGGATTGTTCGGGTAAAATATCAAGTCGTTCTGACTTGTAGTTTTAAAGTTAGATTGTTTTGAAATCGCAACTTTAATTACAGAGGCTGTTCACACATTTTTTAGACGATGTATATTGTATTCACAAAACTAAATTACATAAAATTCTTGTGTTTTAAATGTTCTATTTGGCATCCCTTATTCTGAACTATCTTTTGACACTGCAATTTCCAGGATAATAATGCCTTTTGAAGTGGCAGAAGAGGTATTCTATCCCATTCCTCCCGAACAGCGTTCCAGAGTCCTGTTAGGGTTTTGGGACAACATTTGGATAATGCAGTTTTTAAATTCCAAAAGCACAAAAATCCATAGGTGACACATCGGGAGATTTAGTAGGAATATCAGTGAAGAGTATGGCCTTGATACCAGTTTTTTGTTCCATTTCTTTTAGGAAATTTACAGTGGATTTTGATTTGTGACTGCTAGCTTTGTCCTGATGGAGTCTCTCAGATTGATGGCACTGTGGGTAAAGCGATGGCATTTCATTCAGAAAAATTGGCAATAAAATATGTTTCTGATAGTATTTGGAGTTAATCTTGACATTTTTTTTGCACTCTCTTTATTTTTAAATTGCCATTATATGAAAAACCAGCAACAATCATGAATCCCTTAGAAAAACTTTCTTTCGATTCTTTGAACCATGTACTTAAATTTTTTTCTCCCCTTTTATGATAATAAATGGCTCTTTTTCTTGTTACAATCATTTAAATACACCCATGCTTCATCTATTGTGACAATTGCTTTCCATATTTCTTTGGATAAGTGTTTCTCATATAGAATTCTGCAGCGTGTCCTGCGTTGAGCGATATGCTTTGGAAGAAGACTATGCACATTACGTTTTTTTCGCTTTCTTAAGATTTAAATCAACGTTTATCATTTTGTTTACAGCGGACTCCGAGCATTTTAATGATTTTGTAACTGTCCTTTGACTAAAGGGATTTTCTTTTAACATTAAGCAACGTACCTTTGCAATAGTCGAAGATGTCCGTTTTTTCCTTGAATACTTGTTTGGAATTTTTGTCCCACCTGAAGCTGCAATTTGACGGTTATTTTCCTTTCTTGTTGATGATATTACCTATCGATGCTTTAGATATAACAAAACCATGACTCTCACATCGTTTTTGGATAATGGAATATGCTTATTTCTCTTCAGAAAGAGCGTAAATGTAGCCTTCGAACCATTGCTTTGTTAAATTCACCATTTTTAATAAAAACAAAACTTTCAAGCCACAGCCGATAATTTTGACTTTTAAAAACATAGTACAATTGCAATTACTTCTTTTGCAGCAAACGAATTTTTATTTCTGTTCGGGAGAAACGTAAATGTAGCCTTCGAACCATTGCTTTGTTAAATTCACCATTTTAAATAAAAACAAAACTTTCAAGCCACAGACGATAATTTTGACTTTTAAAAACATAGTACAATTGCAATTACTTCTTTTGCAGCAAACGATTTTTTATTACCGCTTACCAAAACCGTCTAAAAAATGTACGAACAGCCTCTGTATAATCATCCTGTATTTACTCACTTTGCTTTATTTTGTTCTTTGTTACAATCAGTTATCTTTTGGTTGCACATATTTACTCAGTTTACTTTATTTATTTATTAAACAAACAAAATGTATCATTATAAGCATTAACTTTACATAATATTAGCAAAAAGCAAGCTTTTTCTTCTATTCAGAACAAGCAGTCAAAATGACTGCTGATTGTAGTTATAGGTATACAGAAAATGCCGTAATGCTAGTATTAATATCATGCATTTCATTTTTGATATGTATTAAATTCTTTTAACCTTTCTGAAGTTTTTTAAGTAATGTGGCAGTTTTTAGAAACCTATACAAATTTTATTTTAATGTTAGGAGAAGAGATATTGCTAATGTACTTCATACATTTCATAAAGTTTAATTTTTATTTGCTAAGATAAGGAAAATAATTTGAGTGTAAACAATATTTAAACAAAGGAAATATAAGGATTAAGATATGTTTCTAAAATTATTCTTTTTGTAAAATTTGTTTCCCTTATGTTTATTCAGTGCTCAACATTAGTGTATTTATTTCAGTTCATTGGTATGTAAGTGCAGTGTTTAATTTAATGGTATCAGTCATTCTCTTGGGCTTAGAATCCACAATTATAAAAATAGTCTAGGTTTTTAAGCAAATTTCCCTGTGATCTAAAAAAAAAAAAAAAAAAAAGGTGAGACACTTGTAAAGATCTTAAAATGTCAGTTTCACTATAATATTACATTGTGATATTTTTAAATACTAATTTTAGTTTTGATATATTTTAATTAAGTAAAACAAATAATAAATTTGAAATGTTTAATTTTTATGTGGATATTAACAAAGATAAGATTTCTTTGAAAATAAATTTTTTATAATCTAGTTCAATTAAAGTGAAATTGTGAAATTGAGTTGCTTTCTAATCTTGAATAGTTCTGCATTAAACTGGTTTTGTGTTTTGCAGTATTTTTAATTTTTTTTTTTTTTTTTTTTTTTTTTTTTTTTTTTTTTTTTTTTTATTATTTATTTTAATTTGTATGTTAATTTTTATGTTTTTTATTTCTCATAGACATTTGATCATCATTGTCCGTGGGTGAATAATTGCATTGGTCGACGGAATTATCGTTATTTTTTCATGTTTTTGTTTTGGCTAAGCATTCATATGGTTTCTATATTAACATTTTGTGCTCTTTACCTGAAGGATCACATAAACAATCTAAAGCAGTTAGAAACTATTATGACGTATCCTTTTGCAATCTTTCTTATTTTCTTATTTCTGTATTTATTTATTATAAACTTATATTTATGTAATTACATATTTTATATAATACACAAACTACTAAAAATTGAATATCTGTTATCATTTTTCTTGGCAGTTTTTCCTTGTTGATGAACTTGCAGTTAATATTTCTCATGAAAAGTTTTTTTTAATTACATGTAAACATACATATTAGTATTTAAACACACCTATTAGTGTGTGGTGCTATGTGTATGCATTAATCATATTTTTCTGGAAAATAATTTGCTAATACAGTAGAGCACTAGTTATACATTCACAAATCGCAGCTTGTTGTTTTGGAATAGGTCAAGCTTGTTTCTGGCGGAGGCAGTTATCGAAGCCTTGTTTCCATATTCAATAACAGGACAAACATAACTTTTATAGGCTGTGCACAAGCCATTTGGGTTGAGCCCTAAGTGACACCAGCTGTTTCAATAGTCTTGATCTGGCATATCCTTTATCAGTGGCTGAATCAACATGCTTCATCCAAGTTAATTTTGGGTCTAAGTGAATACCCAAATAGACAGTATCGAAAGTTCTATTCAGGTCTTTGTCATTAAACTGAAGTTGGATGTTGTGATGTTTTGTACTGAGGTAAAACAATTGAAAGGTGGTTTTATCAGTATTTACAACCGTATTATTATCATAAGTAAGAGTAAATCAGGATGAAGACACATCAATTGTAAGAGAGGGAAGTTGGGGAATTTCCTTCATTCTCAATAAAACCAATAGGGTTGGAATCAGTAAGATTTTTGACTATACGACCTATACTATTTGATGTCGAATAACCTCAGCAATTTCAGGGGGCAATGAAATCTCCGAGTATAAGTGAATTTCTATCCCAGTCGAGTATTATTCTTTCAAATTGGGTTTATTATTTAGAGGATTGTACAAGAAGAATATCTTATGTAGAGTTTCTTGTCTCCATACATGTATTTTTAGGAATTCTAATTTATCATTAGTAGTCATTCCATGAGAGGCAATTAACTTTGCCTATAAAGAATGTTTTACAAAAACAATAATGTCAGAAGCAATCTGTCTTGGTCACTTTAACACAAATTTCTGATATCCAGGAATATTAAAATATATTTCACTGTCTGCAGTGGTTGCACTCTCAACAATGCCCATTACGTCAAAATCATGATAAGAAATAAGTCTTCAATTCAGTAAATTTGTCATGAGTTAAACTGCCAGTGTTCCAAAATGAAAGCATAAGAGCTGGTTTAGTTCTTTACTTCCAAAACCCTCAAGAGCTTGAACCTGTCACCAGGTCAGAAATTCTTTTCTACTTCCTCATCAATAAGGGCTACTTTAAAGGTGATAGGTATCAGTCATTTAGTTTAAACAGGGAACACCACATGAAGGCAACTGTTATCACTCCCCACGCATTAATAAACAATTTAAATAATTTTTATAATTAATATTTCAAACATGATATCAATACAAATTTAATAATTTTTTAATCCTAAGAATGCAAATTTCTGTACATATTAATTTAAAATTAGGGGGGAAATATGTCATAGCTTTATTTGAATAACTATTCTGAATCAGTCACATTTTTTCTTCTAAGAACATTTTAAAGCAAATCTAAACATTTTTTAAAGAAAAAAATCTTTCATTGTCATCTGACAAGTCTTTTGATTTTGAATCGTAAGCAAAGTGCTATGAATCAAAATCAGCTCCTGAAATGTTTTCTCACTGTTATACACAAAGAAATTTCTGAGGGTATCAGTGCAGTAGATAATAGATAGCATTTTGAAAAGAAGTTGGTATTATTTCTTCATTTCCTTCTTCATCTCTACCACTTAAATGTTCATCTAGTAAAACGTTTTCGAACAATTATTCAACCATGCACAAGTTTGACATCATTACGTTGGCATTACAGTTTACATATTTGCCGACTGTGATATCTAATCCCAGTAGATTTCACATCTTCTTCATCCATAATCACAGTTTGATCTCAGGTTTGTGCTTTTACTTCCATAGTCTTAAGGCTATTTAAATGTTTCTATGCATTTCCTGTATTTTGAAGGGCTATTTAAATCAAACTTTGCTGTAGAATATTTTCAAATCCCTCATGATGCCCAGATCTAGAGAACTACTCTGTTGTAGTCCAATTTGCCGTAAAGGAAATGGCTTTCACGTTTTGCGATCTGTGGCTTGAGGATGGGGTACTCTAATCTATAAAAAGGAAATTTTGAAGTCTTGCCTCCTCATAGTTTTGTCTATTTTCTTGAACCATTCTGTAAAAATTCCATAGTCATCCGTGCTTTCTTATTTGCTTTGTATTCTAATGGCAGAGTTTGACACATTTGAAGCACTTTGATTTTTATAACTTTCCTGTAACCAAAGGAGTCATTTTTTCTGAACCATCAGCATATGCACAAAGTAAAACGGTGAGACGTACTTTGCTTAGCTCCATGACAATGGTCACCTTTGAAAGCTAGAGTTCATAAGTTTAAAGAAAAAACCAGTTTCATTAACATTAAAAATGTCTTTTAATTCAAATCCATCTATTTTGGTGGATAAATTCTTGAACCACTCTTCAAATGACTCATCAGGAAATCTTTTTGATTCTTTTATTTATTATATGACATGAGATACCATGCCACACTTTAAATTTATGCAGCCATCCAATTAAAAGGCAGGCTTCTTTCATATTGAATCAAAGTGTTATTTCTTTTGACTTTTCAATTAACACCATTCACAGGAATATTGGATGTACGACACTGAACCAAAAATTTTAGCAAAATAGCTTTGATCTCAGGAAGCTTGAACATGCAGTTTCTTTGAAGTGGACTGTCCACAAATTCATGCTCTTTCTTTGACTTTTCCCTATTATAAACAACCATTTTTAGTGTTGTCTCAGTAATGTCCAGTTTCTTTGTTAACTCAACTTTCATTAAACCAGTATTCTCAACAAAGATTTTATCTTTAGAGTGCCTTTCGCTTTGATGACATTTTGTATCGCTTAATTTTGCTGCACCTAGTTTACTTAACACAGCATCCTTTTCAGAAGAAATAAACTGTATCTATTTTGTCTTTCACGTATCCCTTCTATTCAACTCTTGAACCAGATTGTGATGTCTGTATTTCCTTCTCTTATCCCCATTTTTGGGGAAAAAACTTGAATGCTGGGACTGGGAGATGTAAAACCAATGTAGTAAGTCAAGCAAAAATGATATGTAACTAAATTTATGCAATGTATAAAAGAAATATTTTCCTATTAAAGAATTAGTTCCAAAAAAGTAAAGGATTGAATCAGGACCAAGATGAAATGACATATAAATGCAAAAAATGCATAAATGAGAAACGTGTACAGTGCTCCACTGTATTTTTTTTAAAGTATGGCTGAAATTATATCAAATATTTTAATTTTTCTTCTATAAAGATGCAAGATTATTATTAAAATTTCTGTGCTTTTAAAAATGTAATGAAGATTTATATGAAATCTATGGAAAACTCGGCCCTCATTTTTCATTGGCATGTTTTCTTTCATATAAAATATGTCAGTTGTAATCATATCTGTGGATTCTTGGGTACTGTTTTGTCATTTAATTAAAAGATAAAGTTTTAGTATGTTTATCTATTTGCAAAAGTTAATTAAATATGTTAATTTTTAAAATGCTGATTATTTTCTAATTTAGTTTAATTTCAGGCATGTCATTAAAAATGTACTGAAGAAGCAACATATTATAATTGTTTGTAGCAGTGTTTGTAGTTTGTAGTTGTTTCAAATGTGTCTTTGATAAAAGTATACAGTTACCAACTGAAAACAAATAGAGCAACAGTGGCTATATCATGTTAAAAATTGAATCATGTATAGTTAGCTCCATAATAATATTGGTTAACATTGTTTTATTTCTTCTGATTGCACTATATTGCTTAACATTTTAAAGGCTTGTTATTGTAGGTATTATCATAATTCTTTTCATCCCTATTCTTGGATTAACAGCATATCATATGATGTTGATAATGCAAGGAAGGACTACCAATGAACAGGTAATTTAATAATGGGTATACTTATATAAGAATTTATTTTTGCTTGCTTCTATTTTTACTTTTTTGGCAGATATTTCTTGATAATTAAGGAAGTCTAAAGTATAGCTAAATTCCTATGTGTCAGTCAAGCTTTAAATTTTACCCCTTAATTGCAGGGGGGGAAAGAAAAGAAGCAAAAGGAAAAAGAAAGGCAAAGATATGTAGGCCCAAATGGATTAACTTTTTCTTCAAAACGTCTTCATTATTCATCCTGTTTTTTATCCATTGATTATACAAGATGTTGCTATTAGTACTGATATTAGTAAACTAGTAGCATATATAATATAATCCATTTTATAGATAATTTAATCTGGAAATTTTCATTCGTTGTCTTTTCTGTATACCCTTTCTTATGTACAAAGGCCAAAAATGATAAGTAAAGCATTCCCTAATAAACCTTTTAAAAATTATTGTAATGTCAACGGTACTGTTTTCATGATATAATACCTGATTATTTTACTTCTCCTCATTCAAGTTACACCATAAAAATTCAACTGGCTTTTGAATTTATTGTTGTTATGTTAATTGATTTAAATCCCTGTGTTAACTTGATCCCTTTTTTTTTTTTTTTTTTTTTTTTTTTTTTTTTTTTTTGTTTGGTGTTTAAATGGAAAAAAAAAAAGAAAACTTCACCATTTGTATATGAATGTGGAAATGATACATTCTTCACAAGGAATGATGATTCATCTTCTTTCTTTAAGGTTATTGGCTATTAAAATAAAAGTTTTAAAACTTTATTAGCTACCCAAAAGTGATTTTAAAAAAGTGGAGAAATGAAAATTATTTTAACATCATATGGGGGTATAAATTATTTTTTTTTTTTTTTTCAATACTAGTATAAAATTGTTTGCCTCATTATACTCTGATAGAAGAGAAATTTAGAAATCAAAATTATTTTTGGTACATTTCAATTATATGGTCACATGAAAAAATTAATTTTAAAATAAAAGATGTATTTTATTATAACAGTATAAATTTTAAATACATTATAAATGAAATACAATTTAAATTTGAACAGACGCCATCAGAAAAATTTTACTACTGTCAGCAAAATTGTTTCAATCGCACCAACTAACGTTTTAGACGAGTTATCTGAAACAGCTAAGAGAAAACATTCTTTTGTTTCCCTACATAAGCCTCCAAAAACCCACTGTAAAATAAATACACATCCAAAGTTACTCTTTCTTCTCATAAAAGGACTTTTGCCAACCTCTGCTATTATGTCATTTCCACCAATTTTAACTTCAGGTCTACATAGCTACTATGTGTGAATTGCGATTTCTCATGAATATGGAATTAAAATTGCACAGCTCGGCGATCCCAGATTTGAGATTTTTCCGGATATTAGATCATTTTAAATCTAGTAAGATGGCACATAGAAATTATAAAATTGAAAATATGAAATCGTGATTTATGAAATAATGAAGCATTTATGATTTAAAGGGTATCAAAATTTACAAAAGAAAAGAGCTTAATATTTATATGTTTACTTTATTAAACATTTCTTTAAATGTGAGTTGTTTGATTTGTTTTCTCTGCTAATACTTTAGACTAATACTATAGACATATAATTTCTTGTTGAGTTATTAAGTTCCATTGTTCAAGTCCTGTAATTGCTGTGTCGAGAATTCCGAATAACTTGTCAATCAAAATTTTTTCTCATTCAGTAACCTCTCTGTTACTTTCTTTCACTATCGGTAGCTGTATTTTCTGGATTTAGAACCATACTACAGATTTCGCCCTCCGTTAATTGATTGATGATTGGGGCATTGTCATCGCAATGAAAAACTTCTGTTTAACTTCCCTAAATTCTGCCGCCTGGTGTGGCCATGCGAGCTCTGGCGCTGGTTCTGGCTTTATGTGAATAACAAATCAGTTATTCTTAATTCAAATAGCACTAAATATAATCGTTTGTCCTATGATTATCATTAACAAAATCTATTTTTAGCATAAGGAAAGAAATTTCTGTTAAATCTCCCCTTGTCAACATTTTAGCACATTAAACTTAAATCTGTAATCGGATACTCTGTTATTTGGCGTCGCTGCATGAGTCATCACTCAAGTTGTCATCCGTTGATAAACATGCGGTGATGAAAGCAAAATACAATAAATAATGATTCGCGATTTCGGCATCAAGGATATAAAATATTAGTTGGTGTAAAATTAACAAATGTTTCAGTTTGAGATTATGCCAAGCAGATACGCAGCTATGGAGTCAAGTTACTAATCACACAAATTTATGCTAAAATAATTATTTCTTCAATAATGAGATATTTTATTTAGCGCCAAACTGAGATTAAGAATCGGGATTTCCGATCGGGAGATAAGAATCAGGAAGATTAAGAATCAGGATTAGCTGCAAAACATCTTTCGCTTCTCAACTGCAGAGTTTCTTCTAACAGTATCATGAATTTTGTCAAGTTAGAAGAACCATCTACTTCAGGAAAAGATGTAACTGCTAATTCAACATCAATAAGTGTAGAAAATAATAAAATCAATTCATTTTCTTTTCAAATCTGAAGTTACAGATGCAGAAATATTGTGGGCTTTTAAGTGCATCAAAAGCCACTATTCTTTTAAATCGTGCGATGATATTGGGCCGTTTATTCACTAAAATGTTCCCGGATAGTTCCATTGCAAAATAGTTTTCATGTGGTGAAAAGAAATGTGCTTATATCTGTTATTTTGGTCTTGGCCCTTATTTTAAAACTTTGTTACTAAAGCATTGTAAAAATGCTGAGTTTTTTACATTACTATTTGATGAGACTCTTAATCTGACAAATCAAAAGAAGCAACTAGATATTTATGTGAGGTACTGGCATCACGAAAATAAGGTCAGAACTCAGTACCTTACTTCTGCATTTATAGGGCATGCAACAAGTGAAATTATTTTATCCAAATTTTATGAATGTGTTGAAAAACTAAAACAAATTGTGTCATCCATCGATATTTGTGTCAAAACTCTTACAAATATCGATGGATGGTCCTGCAGTAAACTGGAAATTTTATGATTTATTGCAACAGGACTTGACAAAGGAATATAACATTCAATGCTTGACATTAGGGACATGTGGTTTACACATTCTTAACAATGCTTTCAAGCATAGGATGTCATCCACTGGCTGGGACATTCCATCATTCTTATACTCCTTATATTGGATTTTTAAAGATTCTCCTGCAAGACGTGAAGATTTTTTAAGTATATCTGGCTTAAAAAAGCTACCTGTGAAGTTCTGCTTTTACCGATGGTTGCAAAATGTCCGAGCAGTTGAAAGAGCCATTGAAATATGGGATGACTTGCTACTGTACATTAAAGAAGTTGAAATGGGGAAGTTTAAAAAAAATTCATCGAAATCTTTCTCAAATATTTTGGAGGCAACTAAAGATAAAACATTTCTTATAAAATTAAATTTTTTTCTCTCTCTGTCGAAAATATTATTGCCTTTCCTTGAATATTATCAAAGTGATAAACCACTTATTCCCTTTTTTGCTGAAGATATCTTAAAACTTGTAAATGATTGTCTTCAGCACTTTAAAATTTTGAAACTAGAATATTCAAAAATAACTAAAGCAGAAAATCTTTATAAATTTAATTTTAATGATCCAAATTGTTATAATGATAAAAGTAAAGTTTATTTGGGATTCATTGCTGAGCAGTTAATGAATGATAAATGCCGCAAGAAGAACATTTCACAAGCTGAAAGTTTTGCATTGAAACAAGAAGGTCAACAATGTGTCTTAACAATGGTACAACACTTAATGTCTAAATGTCCAATAAATTATTCTCTTATTCGAAATGCATCTTGTATAGACCCGGGATTGATGGTTAAAAGTCCAGAAAAAGCCCAGAACAAAATGAAAATAGTTCTAACGGTATTAATGCAGAATAAACATGTTTTACAAGATGATTGGGATGAAATTCTGCTGCAGTTTGGAGAGTTTCTAGACAAAGTAGTTAAGACAAATTTACATGAATTTTCTACTTTTGATCCTCAAAATCTTTCTCTTGACACATTTCTCACTTCTTATTTTCATGATTTTCACTATTCAAAAGTATGGAAAATAGTGAAAATGATTCTTATCTTGTCACATGGACAGGCCTCTGTGGAAAGGGGCTTCTCTGTAAATAAAGCAATTGAAATTGAAAATTTAAGTGAGTCATCATACATTTTTCAACGCACAGTATTTGATGCGTTGAAAAATGTATTTGATGTATGCACAGTATTTGATGCGTTGAATTTTCTGGAGGTGTTCTTAATATCGAAATTAATAAAGAAATGAGATCAGCAGCAGCTTCTGCAAGGTCTAAATATATGCAGTATTTAGAAGAACAAAAATCTTTAACTAAATCTGAAAATTCAAAGAGGAAAAGAAATATCATTGAGGAAGAAATTGATTATATGAAGCAGAAGAAAAAATTTCTTCAAAGGGACATTAAAGATATTAATGAAGAAGTAGATGCTTTAGTAGATGAAGCTGAGACCAGCATGAACATTGATTTGTTTATCAAAGCAAATGAACTTAAAAGAATAGTTAAAGAAAAGGAAATAGACATAAATAAATTAGATGTTAAAATAGCTTTAAAGATTTCAGAGTTAAAAAAAGCACAAATGTTTTGTATCTTTTATTGTACAGTTTATTATTCTAGTATCTTTAAAAAAACCAAGGAAATAAATTGTATGTTTACAAATCAGTTATTTTAATCTGCAAAATATTCTTACATTGTGATTATAATAGTAGTTGACTGTGCTTAAATAAATATCAAATAAGTTAAATAATAATCATGTAAATCACTAAAATAGTGATTGTTATTAGTGTAAAATACACTTATACATGTTTTTAAAGAAATTATGTTCATTATTTAATATTATCTACTTCATAACTTGTAGGGAGTTAGTTTAATTTTCAAAATTGTTTTATGGTAAGTATTAAAGTGAATTTAATAATAGTGCATAATACACACTTCTGCTAGTTTCTTAAAGTGAAATTACAAGCATGAAGTCGGTTGTATGGATAATTGCTTTATTCTATTCGTTTTTTTGTTTGCTGATAGGTCCTTAATTTTTTCTTTGATGGTCCTTAAAAGTCCTTAATTTTCATGTAAGGAAATGTGTACGAACCCTGTTAAATTATGTTTTGTGCAGTTCTAGAAAAGGATTGCAAACCATAACAGATGAGTTCATTCGTGAAACTGACTCATGGCTCAGTTTCACTTATGGCTCAAGTGCACTCATGAAACTACTTCAAATTCGTAAGTGAAACTAAAGTATATTAGCTAATCGCATTATTGTTATCTTTGGTCTTTTATCACACCTTTTAACAATTTTTTTCTGGCATCCATGTAACAGAAAAGTATTTTTTATTTTTATATGTGTTGAACATATGTCAAAATGTAAATAGAGATTTTTATATTTATTTTTTGGGTTGAGGAATAATTTTCAGCTAAAAAAGGCTTTGGTGTCACACTACAGATTGTTTCTAAAAGCTATTTTGAAGATTCTCAGTATGACCAACTAACTAGTTTAGAATTTTACTTTTGAATAAGTAGTGTGCCCAGTTCACATGGGAAAATAAGCATATTAATGCATATATTAAAACTATAAAGTTATATTATTCTGTTCTAATATTATTCTATATCTATTATAATTTTTTATTTACTTTACTTTAAGTGATGAAATGTAAATATTTCAAGCACCTAGATCAGTGGTCGGCAAACTCATTAGTGAACAGAGCCAATTATCGACAGTTCAGCGATTGAAATCTCTTTTGAAAGCCACATTTTTTAACTTAAATTTTATAGGTAGGTGTATTGTTATTCACTTAATTAAGGTACTCTTAGGCTAGCTTTTACTAAAAACGACCTCAGTCTGATCAGCATACATTCTCTGAGGTCGACCCTCTTCCAGCTCTTGCATCCTCACTTGTGTTGTATACTCGTTTCATGTATCTTCTTTCATTCATACTCTCTATATGTCCAAATCATCTTAGCATACCTTTTTCAATTCTCAACACTACATCTTTTTTTCACCTTTTTCACTTTTAATTTGTTTTCAAATGAAATAGCTTATTCTAACATTGAAAACATTGTGTTTCCTTTTCCCTGTAATTTTTGATTAAGCTGATTCAGATGAGATGTAACGTCTACCATGAAATAAAATTTTTGGATCCACTGATTGTTCATTAGTTCTGGATAATAAACACTCTTTTTCAAGAAGAAATGCTTTAATTTCTGTTAATAAGCTGGTGAAACGTTTCCTCTTGATAACCAACATACTTTTTTATGCAGCAGAAGATCTACGTTTTCACTCTCCATTTCAACTAAAAATTCTTTAAACTGGTGATGATTAAAATATTTAGCTATAATGGAGTTGATAATCTTAATCACCAATTCTGTAATTTTTCAAATTTTTTCTGGAAATGTATGCACACAAAGTGTCTGGATTTTTAGTTTTTAGACATTTTCAATTTGAAGTTTTTTCATATTATATGCAACCCAAACATCATCTATATATTTTATGTTGCCTAAATTGAGTTGCTAGGAAAACTTTTGTTCAGACCCTGGAAAAACTTCAAATTTGAAAGATCTCAGAGGGTAAAAATCCTGATATTCGGAAACTAAAACTCATTTTTACATTATATGGTTTCTCATTCAAGTTAAATTTTCCATTAAATGGTATATTAATTCAAAGTATTTCATTAGTTAAAATTTAGCATATGACAGCTATTGACAGCACAATTTGATGTATAATCAGTGCAATCAATAAGCTGTAATCAATACCAAAAAAAATTTTTCCAAGGAATAACATTGGCTGTTATGTTTTCAGTTGTTTTTATGCCTGTGAAAAATTTGCCATTGTATTGTATTGTCAAGATTTTTCTTGCTTTAAAGTGTGGATGCCTGCATGTGCTATTTTGTGAAGAGCCATACTCAAGGAGCCAAAGAGTACATTTGGCTCTCCATGGTTTGCCGACCATTAACCTAGATGTATTTAATGCAACACACTTTAAGATCTAAAGATCATTTAGTTAAAATGTACATAATTTTTTATTTTTTTTACTTGCATATAAATAGCAAATAAGTCTTAGTATTGGGAAGAGATGTATAAACAGTGGTATCAGGTTTAATTTGATGCCTATCTGAGATTGTGTTGCAATGTGCCCATTTTTCTTAATATTTATATTAAATCAGCTACATTAAGTTTCAATTAAGTATGTTTTATCATAGTTTTAAATGCATATAAAATAATTTTTACTTCTTGCATACATTGTGCATAATAATGAATAGTATATATATATTTTCTGAGAGTAGAAGGTGCTTTTTTAAAATTTGTATTTAAATTTTAATTTTGATCTGCCCCCCCCCTTCTAAACTTTAAAAAGATTTTTGAAATTTGTAATGAAAGTTTCTGTTTTTTTCTTTTTTAATTCTTCAGTGAAGCACTTTGAAGTAATTTTTAAAAAGGTGATATTAAATATGAAATTTTATTTTTATTGAATAGGTAATTATGTTTTGTATTGTTTGAGAACAGTTTTTTGAGCATAAATCAAAAATATCTTTTATTAATCACAATATATTTATCTTTTTAAATAACATTAAATTATTTATTTATTTTTGTACATATGAGTTCAAATAATATATTTCCATACAACATAAAGTATTTTGGATATATAATGTGGATAGGTTGGTCTATTCAGAAAGCAACTTCCATTTTGTTGTTAAAAGTGGACAAGAAAGGTAGATAAATTTTTTATTATGCAAGCAACAGGCCTTAACTTCTGAACCTTGTGAACTGAAGCAGTTCTCATAATATGATGTGATATTTCTTTTTGTTTTTGAAAGTTTCTGCTGGGGTGTGAAAACAAACACTTGGCACAATCCATCAGTCCTATCTATATTGAAGCATTGCATTATCAACTTGATTTTCAGTTGCTAAATGGAAGGAATATATGGAAATTTCTAGAATAAGATTAATTCTCAATGTCATAATCAGCCTCATTATATATTTAAAAAATAGAGTAGCATGTGATGTGTCACTTCATAGATTTATTGATAAGTCTGCAGATGTCCTTCTAACTAATGTATATTCATTTTACATACACTCACAATTATTTCACCTTAGAAAGTGCTTCATGAATGTATCTCTCTGAGCACTTGAGGGCAGATAACTTTTATATATTTTGCAATATTCATATAACCAAACCAATTATTTTACATTTAGATACGGCTTAACTTATTAAGATTAAAAGCACCAAAAACATATGTAAGGCCATCAGGAAACGTGAACAGAAAATAAATAAATAAATAATATAATAAATAATTATTAATTAAAATAAAGATTGATTGATAGAATATGTGTACTGCCACACTATTAAGGGCAAAACATGGCCTGTTAAACTGCTAGGCGGGAATCGGACAAAAAAACCACCTTAGAGAGCTAAAAGACATTTATGTGCAGCTGCCTAATCCCACACTAACTAGACAATAGACTTCAAAAATTCCTTCTTAACCCACCATTGAACTGGACCCCCGGGCCACCACTCTTGGTTCCAGAACTTATGGAGACTGTGACTATATTAGCGGGAAGGTGAGACTGGTCACTTTGCTACCCATCAGTAATACATGGGTTATCCGTCACTGGAGGAATTACACACTCTGTAAAGAAAACTGTGTGGGCCCAGAAGGATGTGTGAAACTACTAAAATGATTTATATAAAATACTCTAAATGCCCCAAGGCATCCACTAAGGTACTGACACCACCAGCGAAAGGATATATGCCACCAAGACCTGTGGAAAGTTGGGATAAAACTTTTCTCTCACAGGCCATGGGGAACTGATAGGCTCATTCTTTTTATCCCCTGTTGCTGAGAATGCCAGAGTACAGATCCCTGCCAATGCAGTATGCTACTGCCAGGGGTAATTAAAATGAAGTCAAATGTAAAGACATAAACAAAAAAAAATCAAATAATTAAGTTAAATTAATGTTAACAGTTAAATAGTAGTCTCATTTTGTTTGGCGCTCCAGCAGAAATCACAGTTTTATTTAAAAATTTAGTTTTAGGGTCAGGCTTAATTTAGAGATAAATGGAAAATATTTTCTAGTAAATAAAAGAGGATTAAAGAATGGATAATGTGTGGGTTTGCAAACTATTTTTCAGCTGTGTAGTTTCATATTTTACTTGTAAACTAATTTATTTTCAAAAACAGATTTTTAGTAATTAATTAGAAATGTTTTAGATATAGAGTCCAAGAACTTTTGCTCTCCTTTTATTTACATCTTATGCTTATTTAGTATTTGCAATTGCAGATATTTCAGTTACAAGTGTTATAACAATCTCAAAGTTGTTCATTTGAAATTCTATGTTTTGTAAACCTTTATTATGCAAGTTATATCTTGAAATTATTGATTCAGGCTATCTGAATTCTGAAATTTTATATATATATATATATATATATATTTTTTTAGAAACATAAGTTATATTATTATTTTTTTTTTAATTATGTCAAATTTTAATATATTATACAAGAACCATTTTTTGTAGGTTACTGGAAAATTTTTAGATGGCCAAAGTCCGTACACTAGAGGATGTTGTAAAAATATCATGTATAGTTTGTGTAATAGTCCACTTCCTAGGTAAGTGTATGGTGATTCCCCCCCCTACTTTGGCAATGAGTGGCATTTTGAAATAATTAAAATCCATAACTAGTCTACCCCTATAAAACTAAGAGAACTTTTATTTTTATACAAGTAAGCAAAATTATATCATCTAATATTTTCTGAAAAAAATATTATTTTAAAGTTTTATAAATTTACTTCAGTCATTTTCATCTTAATGCATTGTAGCATTTTAAATGTTTTAGGTACAAAAAAGGAAATTCATTTTATACATCTGTAAATCAATATTCTGGCAGAAATTTGACAGAGCAGCCAGCTGTAACAGACAGTGAATCTAAGAGTTCAGAAAAAGTAATGTGCTTTTTCCTTTTCTGCTTCTTAATGTCCCTAAATTGTTCATTTATTGTAAATTTGACCCATTAAAAGTAAAATAATAATAAAAAAATTTATTCAATTAAAAGATGTTCATTACATTATTTTAGAATACTGAAGTTCTTGGTATTTTTGTTTAACAAAATAAGAATTGAAATAAAACAATAACTAATTTCCTAATTAACATTAGTAAAATTTTAATATTATATATGAAAAACATCTCTGAACATATATATAAAAAAATCATTTAGAAATTGATGATGCTCTGATAATATGATTTCAGAGTAAAGGAGTTTGGTGCATAAAAAATGTCATCAATAATGTTGATTTAATACTTTTTTTTTATTCTTGAGAAACACATTCCTGGAAGAATTGCATGCATTAGATGCACTCGGCATGTTTGTTTTTGATCACATTTGCACATTTTCTAAATCTTTCTAACAATTAATTTTGATAAAGGAGTAAACAGGTGACTGCAAAAAGAGAAATTCTATGTATTTAAGATGAAACCCAGTTCAGAATGATTTACCTTTAATTCAGATTTATTTTGCTTAGTTAATATTAAGTTTCTCCTCCACATTCAAAATTATTATTGGCTGAAGCATTATGTAAGTATCTGCATTATTAGCATTATGTAAGAATCAGTGACATTGAATAATTATGAAATGTGCAACGTATAGATATATTGTAAACAGTTGCTATTTTTAGGATGGAAAGCAAAACTAACCAAATTAAAATGGCAGTTACAGTGCTATTGCTAATTAGTCCCTGAACTCTGAAATTTTGATTAATATATTTTTCATCTTACATATTCCCAAGAGGAATATTAATAAAATAAAGTAATAAAAATGAAGCTGAACTAAAACTAAATTTTTCTGAACCAAATTTTTATGTTGGGTATGTCCCATTCCTGCCCCCACTTTTCTTCTATCTTTAAGTTGATGCCTGCTATTTTCTTAGTGAAATTAATTGTTTAACAGATATAGAAAAGCAACAAATGTGATAAAGAACAGGTGTGCAGATTGTACTTACTGTACTGTAGTTCATGATAAGAATGTCCTGAAGAATAAAAATATATAAAATACTAATAATAAATAATAAAATACTAAATAAATAATATAAAGTACATCTGTTAATATCTTTATAGATCATGTTCTGCCAGTCTGTGAATCATCTTAATGCATTATCAATTTCTAAATCAGTATTTACATATAAATAATATTTTTCCTTGGTACATCGATAGAACTTAGTAAAGAGTTGGCTAGAGAAGATGAAACCAATCACTTTTTAGCAATGACTGAGAAAACTTTGCAGATAATGTCTGTAATGGAATGGCAGTGGTTTATTGCGTAGATGAATAATGGGCTTACAGACAGACAGGGCCAAATTCAACATAATTTTGTTATTGGATAAAGCAGTTGTGAAGACACAGTATGTATTTACTTCATGCATGATTATGGGTGCAATAGCCACATCACAATTTTGTATATGCAGCTTACATTTTTAGGCAATAGAAAAAGAAGTACAGTGAAATGAGAGACATGCCTTATCAAGGCAGCAGCAAGTTAAAAATAGAATTATATTAAGCAATCAGAGAAAGTGTAGTGAAGGATTGATGTCAGTGGCACAGTGTAAATGCATTGAAGAGGGTTGTATTAGGATTAACATTAGAACTTTAAAAGACAATTGCCAATTTATTCCAATTAATTTTATTTAATTTACTAATAACTTTCTGTCATATTTTATTGTATCTTACATATCCCCCCTTCAAAGAGAAATAGACTAGACTGTAAAAAGCATTAGAGCAGTAGCAAAAGGAACAGAAATTTTATACAATATATACCATTTGAATGAGATAGGTAATGAAGGGCTTCAGGCACATAGCCTTGAGCTTTCATGCCTCAATATTGAAGTTGAACTTCACTGTGAGTGCGGTGGAACAATATGACTGATGGTTAAATTCAGATATCTTGCCCACTTCTACCTGTACCTGGTCTCTTCAACTATTCTTTCAATTATGGGATTGATAATAAGACAATTCTATGTATCCAAAATATCCATGAGAGTAGTAGTTGATTCAGTGATGGCCACTGCAGGAAGTTGAATACATATATTTATTGCAAAGTACTCATTCAGTTTTCTTAGATTTTTTTAATTTCAATTTTTTATATTTATGAGTCTATAATTTTGTTTTGTTTTTCTTTATACGAATTATATAAACCTCATAAAAGCTGTCATCATTATCTTCATCTTCTGCACTGCTTGATGCACTTAACTCTAATTCTGAATTGCCTTCTCCTTGATAAACAAGCTTCTTTCCTTCTGTCCCATTTTCATCTAAAACACTACTTTTCATTGTTACTCTCACATACACTCACGTTTGTGAAAATTGCAACACCATGAAGGACTTACGCGAGTGAGCCGAAATTTTCAGGAAATGCAAAGTAGCGCATGATATGCAAATGATTAGAATTGCAAATCCGTAGCGCATGCGTATGCTGAGCAGCGCCCTCTGAACGGCTGATGGATCCGAATAAATAGACGGCTGTAGCGAGGCGTGTATGGTTATCGGTGGTTATCTGCTAGTGGTAAACGTTAACTCAATCTGTACTTATGCCTCGTCGACGAAAGAGAGCGAGATTTGAACAACTTACAGAGTTTGAACGAGGGAGAATCATCGGCCTTCGTGAAGCTGGATTGTCGTATCGTGCAGTAGCCTCTCGTGTGCAGCGTAACAGCAGCACAGTGATGCGCGTTTGGAAGCAGTGGACGGGCGAGTGTCGGAAATCCGGGAGTGGACCCCGAAATGTGACGTCAGCTCGCGATGATAGACACCTGGTCCGCATGGCGCGGACGGACCATACAGCTTCCTCTAGACAATTGGCAGCACTGTGGTCAATAGCTACAGGTGTTTCATTGTGTGCTTCATCAATTCGTAGACGTCTGCTGCAGTGTGGACTGCGCGCACGGACTCCTTTATACAGGATCCCCCTAACGCATGACAATCGCCGCCTGCGGCTACAATGGGCCAATCAGCATAGAGACTGGCGTGCTGATTGGCAGCATGTCGTGTTTTCTGACGAATCCCGCTTTAATTTGTGGTACCATGATGGCCGCATTCGTGTCAGACGCTATGCCGGTGAACGCCACCTTCCGGAGTGCATTATCGAACGCCACAGTGGACGAACATCCGGAGTTATGGTCTGGGGCGCCATAGCATATCATAGACGATCTCAGTTGCTACGAATTGTGGGCAATCTGAACAGCAACCGGTATATCCGTGAAGTTCTACAGCCCGAAGCTGTTCCCTTCCTTCAAAGCTTGCCAGGCGCTGTATTTCAACAGGACAATGCCCGCCCTTATACTGCTCGGATTGTTAAATCCTTCTTTACAGCGCAGCAGGTACAGCTTCTTCCTTGGCCTGCGTGTTCCCCGGATATGTCGCCAATTGAACATGTGTGGGATGTCATTGGTCGGCGTCTTGCTCATGATCCTCGTCCTGTTGCGTCTGCAGACGAACTTTGGGTACGCATACAAACGATATGGAATGCTCTTCCTCAGTCAGACATTCAAACTTTGTTTGACTCCATGCCACGTCGTGTAGCAGCACTTATTGCGGCGCGTGGTGGCCACACAAAATACTGATTCTGATCTCTTGTTCTTGTTTGTTTGCTTTGAACATTTAATCATTTATTTGTACCACTACCACTCAACTGTGTATTAAATTGCATTCAATTATGACGATTCCTTCTTGGTGTTGCAATTTTCACAAACGTGAGTGTATAAACAAGTTTCATATATCATTAACAGTTGTGCATATGTGATAGATACAAGGCCTATATTTTAACATTGGAAATAAGTAGACACAAAAATTATGGCAAATAACAAATGTTTAAAACTAAAACAATAAATATTTCTTATAATAGTAATAATAACATTCTGATCTAACAAGAACTTATCTGAATGATTGTGCATATCTCTAAAATACAAATGCCAAATATTCAGTGTCTTATTAGTGCTTCAAAATTAAGATGATAACTGAAAATACATCAAAGAGAGTGGAGAGGATAGCCAAGACTAGGCATTTATAGTGCCTTCCAGCCTAAAGCTGTAAAACTAAATTCAACTCGTCTCTAATATGCTCTAGTGCGTCTCTAATATAATATATGCGTCCCATGAGAAGATTAAACATACTTAACTGAAAAGTTATCTGAAACCCAATTTGTTAATGTTTTAATCAATTTTGAAATCTTTAAGAAATATGTTTAAGTAAAATGGACCTTTTCAGTTCTGAGGCACAAAAGCTTCTGAAAAATGTTCTGTGTATTTTTAAATAATTAAACCCAAGAAATACCACTCAACTAATGAATTCTGCTCTAGTTGCAGGAAATCTAAGGATAAGTTGTACTGTAAAGAAACTATAAGCATAGATTTAAGTGTTTGATCATTTAATGCATGGTTGACTGGCCACGAGTAAACTCATGTCGTCATGCCAAAACATTGCTAACCGGCTGCTAGGAAACTTGTGACATCATGCCAAAATGTACCTAACCAGCCACGAGTATACTATTGATGTCATGCCAAAACATTGCTCACCAGCCATAAGTAAACCTGTGTCTTCATGCCAAAACACTGCTGAACGGTCATAAGTACACTCACCATGTCATGCCCAAACATTGCTGACCAGCCACGAGTAAACTCATGATTAGTACGCCTTTGTTTCATGTCAGCTTCGTTCAATCAGTGCATTCTTGTAGATTATAGTGTAATTGTTGTTCAGCATACCACAAGCTTCTTTAGCTAATATTTAGCCAATAAAAACTCTCAAGTTGTGTCCCTTTTGCTGTAAAAAAGAAATTTTAACCATAATGGAATGCAATGATGAAGAAATGTAATAGAATCTGATAGTGACAATGATTGAAAAGAAGAGTGGATCAAGGATAATATAACACCAACCTCAGAGGATTATTTAGAAGTAACGGCTTTACTTTTTAATAGTTTTTTTAATTCAATTTTTGTGCAGACCAATTTGTACTATTGCCAGATGAAAGAATTCAAAAAAAAAAACTGTGAAAATGTTACCATGGTCAGATGTTAAAACTAATGAAATAAAGTTTTCTTGGATTACTGATACTGATGACCAAACTAAAACATCACATTGGAAAGATTATTGGTTAACAGACCCTTTGGTTAAACACCAGTAGCTCTTAAAACTATATCCAGAATGTGATTTGACCAAATTCTTACTTTCTTTTTCTCATTTGAATAACAATACACAAAATACATCTACTGAAGAGACCTTGCAAATTAGACCACTTCTGGATTATATTATTCTGAAATTTCAATCCCTATGCATACCCAAAAAGGAGTTAGCTCTAGATGAAGCAATGGTACTGTACAGTAGATGCCTTAGCTTCAGAACATATAATCTGGCAGAGATAATAAAATGTAGAAATTTAGTTGGAATGCTTTGTGAAAGTCAGAGTGGGTACATATGCAACTTGAAAGTCTATTCGGAACAGGGGGAAAAGTGCAAGAAACCATCTGTCTGTGTTAGAGCCATACCTTGATCATTGGCATCATATATACCAAGGCAATTATTATAACAGCATTTCTACAGCCAAAGTATTACTAAGAAGGAAAAACACTAATCTGTGATACCATATGAGATAACTATGATTTGCCAAAGGTTCTGGTAAGTCCAAAAGTCTATGCAAAAGCGAAAGGAATTTTTTTCTGGAAAGGATATATTTTCATTGTGTGGAGAGATACAGGGCTAGTGCGCATGATAACAGCTATTCATAATTCTGTGAAATCAAGTAGCAAGCAAAAAAGAAATTCTGTGGATGATGTGGTTAAACCTCTGTGCATATTAGAATACAGTTAACACATGAATGGATTCGATCGTGCAGATTAGTATTTGGTGAACAGTAGTATCTTACAAAGTTTTGAAATAGAAAAAAAAAAAGAAAAAAAAAAGTAGTATTCTTTCTCATAAACTGTACTTGTTAATTTCATTCAAAATTTACTGTTACTATTGGTCAGAAAATATACACAAAAATTTCTACTAGAAGTGGCTAGGAAATTTATAACTGTAGATTCCAATGAATACAGTATAGTACATGATGCTTCCTCTAATATTTCTGCAGCTCCTTACAATGATCCACCCAGCAAACTTTCTGGACAGCTGAGAGACCACATTTTAGAAAAAATAGTCAGTGATAAAAAAAGAAAATTCAATTAGAACATCTAGAGCATGCTAATCAAAAGGAAAACATAGCAAAAAAAAAGGTATATTTGCAAAACCTGTTGTGCAACATTGCACATAGGTGATTGCTTCACTGCTTATCATACCAAAAAATATATTAAGTACAATTCATTTATATATTAAACCATTATAAAAAATTATTTACATTGTTTCACTTCCGCATGCAATTCCCAAATAATAGTCGGTGACATGAGATAACTGAAAAAAAATTCTGGTCAACAGTCTTTTAAAAGTAAGGTTTTCTTAATGGTGTAGCAAGTTTAATCTATAAATAAAAGCATTATGACCAAATCGTGCTAAAATCTCAAGCATTTAGCTAATTATATAATCCATTAAAGTTATGCTTTGAGTGGTACAAAGCAAAAGATAGTATTCTAATAACTATATTCTTCATTTTCTATTTCCACAAGACATAACTATGGGCAACTGGCATGAACACATTAAGGCAAAAATGAATAGCTTTTCAAAATCAATTTAAGAATATAGTTTCCTTTATCCTTATTAACTAATTATCTGGTTGTAATGAAAAAAGCATTGTTAATAAAGTTAGGCGGAAAAAAAAACATGAAATCAGTACTTTTAGTGCAGGAGGTAAACACCATCCAAATCTATGATTTTTTTCCAATGTTTTGGTAGTTTTTCAAAACCTTCGGCCCTTGGTAGCCAGAAGCCTGGCCTGTGTTATTGAAGTAAATCCACTTTTCATCACAAGTGACGATCTGGTCCAGAAGTTTGTCCTTGCTTTGATATTTGAGCAAATTAGTGCAAGCCCGAACACGTCTGTCCTTATCTGTTTGAGTCAGCTCATGTGGCACCCAGAGATTGAACTTTTAAGTCAAGTTTAGGCGATGCATAGTACGACTAATGGACATGGCACTAACATCTAGATAATTAGCAAGCTCTTGAGTAGTTGTATACTGATCTTCTTCCACAATTTCTTGCAGGTGGGTCTCATCAACATCAGTAGGCTGGCCAGAGTGCAAGCAAAAGATAGACTCTTCTTGAATGTCATAGTTCTTATTTTTAAACTTTCAGTACCAAACCTTCACACTGTCATATGATACAGCATTAGCACCTAAAGCTGTACACATGATTTGCTGACATTATGTAGATGACTTTTTGCAGCAGAACTGGAAGTAAATGATGGTTCTAATCTGCAGTGTTCTAAAGCAAGTCTGTTTCTTTCAAATGCTGAAAATTGTTTAACAAAATATGATTAAACATGCCAACATGAACTGTTTGCGTAGACAATATTTGTGGTGGCGAGAAACTTTCTTTAAAATCCGATATATAATGTAGGAGGCAGCTTTGGCTTTTGAAGCATTAATTTTATATTAGCTCTTTCAGATGTTGAACATATTAAATAAAATTAGAGCAGTTCTTTGTACAATGGCTAAATAACTGGCAGGTGAAAATACCAAAAGCATGAAACTCTGCTTGCTTCTTGAATTCAGAAGGGAGAAAATTGTGAGAGACAGACTTAACATTTTTTAAAAATTAGTTACATGTATCTTATTAGCTTATTATCACTTGGTCACTTTATTTGTTGATAGATCCACATAGTATTGTTTTATGATTACCAAATATAAAAAAATTATCATTAATACATTGGATAAATGATTTTATAATCGCCCAGACAATATACTGGTTAGGGGTACTACGGTACCAAAGGGCCTGGGTTCGAATCTCGGAGAAGACATGGATGTTTGTAAATGTATAGTCGGTGCATCATGGCAGCATTCTAAACGTGCAGCAAGCCAAAAGTCCTCTCGTGTGGATTCGTGGAAGGGGAGAGGGGTGTCACACCCCTGGCTTCCTCCACAGTGCTCTCCTTCAAAATTGGGGATGGAAAGTAGAGTCTAACTTCTCTTCAGAGTAGGCTCTGATAGCAATTTGTTCCATGCGATATGGACAAGACAACAACAGCAATGATTTTATTCTCACTTCCCACTGGTACATAAGCAGAACTGTATGACGGGCATATAAAATTTTAATTTAATCTTATCTGTATTTAAGGTGTTTAAAAAAGAAGGAGCAGATTTTACTGGCTTGCAAAGTTATTATATTTTTTAATGCATAATTTTCTTTTCAACCATTTGGTATACACCAACTCAGAAATGGTTCATGTTGTAACACATGTAATCTTGAATACCTGGGTCTCCAGATCTAATTCCTTGTGACCTTTTTTCTCTGGAGATTTTAAAAAATATATGCATGAGCTGTCCTTAGTCACTACTTTCTAAAAGCTTCAGTGAAGTATAACACTAGTTCTTTCTATGAGTGATCAAACTAAAACCCATATATCATAGAATTGACTATTGCTTTATGTATTTTGATTGAACTGGGGCACTGTAGTAAAAATTTTACAAACAAGTGAAATCTGTTTTCTTTATTAATATGTTTATTAAAGTGATATTTATTAAATAAAATTATTTTCATTTGTACTAAGGCATTTGAGAATTTGTACTTTGAGGAAAGGAACAAACTAAAGTACAAAAGAATTTGCACTTTAGATTTTGTTAAAGTTTGAACTTCTGAAGTACAAAGGAAATTGTACTTTAGAATTAGTACTGCTTTACTTTATTTGTATGTTTGAGAAATTATTAATCACACCATCTTGTATAATTTTACCTTTCAGTTAATTTTAGCATTTGTGGCTTTCAGTGTTCAAATAGTAAAAGTTTTTTTGTAGTAATCAAGTTAATTATCTGATTTATTTATTTTTTAAATTTCTTACTGATATATTTCAGACTTCGTCAGTACATTTCAAGTTCGTTGATCAAGCAGATTACATGCTGCCTAAACAAAGCAAATCAGATGATTGTGAAGAATCACCTCCTTCATATCTAAACAGAGGACGACTTCACTTAAGTCTTAGTGAATCATTATATGTAAAGCATCCAGATTCTTCTGTTAAAAACAGAGGATCTCGTGCACTTACACCTCCTGTGCCAATTAGATTTGATTGCTCAAGAAGATCTTTACCCCCACATAACAGACTTCATGCTCCTTCTCCTCATTATGTAGTTGCTCAATCAGTTCATGGAACAGTATTTCACACACAGAAAGATGTTTCAAAAGTAGGTGCTTGTACATCTGGTCATTCTTCTAATTCTACACTGTATTACTCACAAAATCAGAATCCAGCACTAATTAAGTATGATTACGGGACTTCTTCCACTGATGGTTGTGGAGCATCTTCAAATTTTTATTCATATCTTTATAAGAGGAAAGATATTATGGCAAAAGAAGAAGGGTTATCTTTTACTTCTCCTGAATCTTCAAGTAGCAGCAAAGCTTTAACATCTGATACTTGTTGTTTAGGTAATCAGACTGTTGATAAATTACAAGAGCTTGCAAATAGGACTATGATCAGTGGCCAGTGTACTGAAGTTTCTGTGCTTGAAGCATTCCCTAAAGGCTGTAGTAGTTTTCATAATAGCCCAAGCAAAGAATGCCATGATGTTCACCAGTTATTGATTGCTCAGACACCACAACAACTTTTTGTTAACAACTGTGTTGACTGCCAGCAGAGTTCTTCAAATCATTCTTGCCAAAGTAGTGTATCTGGTGAATTTGTACGTACACCAGGTAACAGGCCATTATCTTTTGTAAAGGCAATGGAAATGTCTGAAACATTGGAATGGAGTGCAAATAATCTCCAACAATATAAAATTTCTGAAAATGCTTTACATTACAAAATGCCTCATGATATGCCATCTAATTATAAACTGCAGTCTCCAAATTCTAGCACTTTACAAGACAATAAAGGTCAAAAAAAAGAACATGAAATAAGTTATGAAATTTCTGTATAACAAATTTAGTTAGAGTTTCTGTATAACAAATTAGTTAGAGAATTCATACTTTTAATTAAAATTATGGCAAAAATTTTAACATTTTTGCCATAATTTTAATTAAAAGTATGAATTATCTCCTGTGCAGAAGTTTGAGAAGATTTTTATTAATTTTTAGGCTATAAATAATTTGAAATTATTGACAGATTCAAATTGTTCTTATAATTTATCCAATGGTAGCTGATATAAGATGTCTACTATCATAAATAAATAAGCTGTAGGAATTGCAATACAGTTATTAATTTCTTAGGAAATATGTGTTCTTATTAAAAAATTAATTCTAATTAGTGATAGATAGCATAAAGAGATGTTCTTTGATTAATAGTTTTAATTTTTAGCAGTTTGCAATTCTTGTATAATATCAATAATATTTGATATAAGATATTTTAACATTGTAAATGGATTTCATGTAAATTTGATTGCAGATCAAATTTTAGTGCTTGAAGGAATCTGGGAAACATAATTAAATTTACTCATTATAAAGCATTTGGTTAGGAAATTAATATAGTTTATATATTTTTATTTTACAATTTTTTGCTATATGATTTTATTTTTAATCTTTTAGTCTTGAAATATAAACACTAAAATTTTTGTGCCATAAAGTTATTAATGCATTTTTGTTTAAGTAAATTTGATATAATTTATTACATAGGTTTTATGCATAAATATATAAGAAGCAGTTCATGATTTGACAATTTTTTCAAATTGATCTTGTCACGTAGATGAATTTGATTAACATATGTGTATGTGTGTATGTATATATATATTACGCTATATTTTTAGCTAGTTTATTTTATTTTATTTTAAATCAAGAATAGCATATGTAATTGTAAGTAAATGTGCAGTTTAGATTTATTTATTCAATAAAAGCAGCCTCAAGAGAAATTACAAAGTGAAAATACTGAAAATGTAAGCATGGATTAAAAACTCATAGGGTAATGCTATTTATTTGAAAACATGCATAATACAGGATTCCAAATTTTGTGAAATATCAATTGAAATTCTAATAAAAATGTAAACCTAATCTCAGAATTTTAATAGCTTTATCATATGATAAATGAATTGAATCAATAGGTAAGCAATAAAAACAAGAAAATACATTTAATTTGTAATGAAAACGCAGGAATGAATGAATAAGAAATAAAGTAATTTAAAATGCATAAAATGTTTGTGTAATGAAATTTGATTAAATAATGTGCATAATTCCAGTGGATTAAAAAAAATATATGAAATTTTGTTGCAAAAAAAAATAAATTATTGAATTATTTTGTCATTATAGTTCTGTAATACCTGTGAGGGTTCCAACTACTTAGCTAGCTCAGACTCAATAAGGTGTTGTCTGGTCTGTGTAGTGAATTATCACCACCTGAATAATTAATAAGCACTCAAACTGGCAACAGAATTAATACTTTTAAGTTTATTCTACTTTAGTGCATGTGAGTGCTTAAATTATACTAGACAAACTCAATTTTACCAGCCAATGTGGAGTTTTGACACAAAAACTTCCTTTCACAACAAGAATCTTTCTATACTTTTCTTTTTTTGGAAAATATTTTACACAATTTTATGTAATATCATTATTATTTATTGTATTTTAAGTATGAGAAATAATGGTTAACTTCTCTGTCTGATTTTGAACTTCTTCCATTCATATCAAATACATGCATACATGCATGTTTGAATATCTAAAGATTTTATGTGATTCCAGTTCAGGTTGTGAAATAAGACTATTTTGCTTATACTGTAACAATGCATTCATAACATATTAAAGTTTCCTAAAATTGCAAGCTATTTCCAGTTTATATGCAAGAATATAAACATCTAACACATTTACAAATTAAATAAAAAAATAAAAGTATTAAATTCAATCAACAAATTAAAGCTAATTTAGCAGAGACTGCAAGATTTCATGACTTATGACAGAATTTCGAACACACACGCTTATCAAACAAGATTTAGAGTCCATCTGACATAATCTCAGCAAAAACAGCCTTAGTGTTTGTTGCCAATAATCTTTCTTTGATAGGCAGGGCAGTGAAAGCAAACCAAAACCTTGCATGTTTATTTGTAAAATCCTAAACTTTATAATAAAACTACTCAGCACTAAAAATGTATATAATTCTGAAATAAATTAACCTTGTGGCAAAAAGAGGCAGAAAAAACAGAAGTAAATTAAGTAATATTCCATTAGTAAACTAAACATAAATGCAACAGTTCTATTAACAAATAATAACTATAAATGCAATTAATTAAATTTTATGCATATTTTCTATTTAATATTGTAATGAATAGATATTTTAATTATTTGGTATAGCATTTATTTCCATCTGTATGATTTCTATTATTGCTATTTTTAATGCATTCCCCCATCCAAGAATGCAATCATGCAGTTTAAAGACTACATTAGTAAAATGTTTTTGGAAAACAAGTACATTAAAGTCTACATCTTAATTAAATAAAACAATAATCCTGTGTTCTTAAAAATTTTAAGTTTCTTACAAGGTGCAGTCAGTTTTGGCTAAATGTACTAAAATTGCGTTTTTAATCAAAGCAAACTTATTTCTATTGATAATGAAAGGCTTATTTGTAATGGCTTCTGCTATAAAAACTGTTATTGATAATTTAAAAAATTAAATTTTAACACTTGAATAGTAAATTTCTAGATTTCTTCAGAATATAGAATTTTTGCTTATGGTTAACTAATTCTGCTTTTCATATATATCCACTTAGCTTTTTACAACAAATGTGTGTAATCCTTTTTATTATTTTATTATTATTTTGTACCAATCTTTCTGCATAAGGAACATACTTTAATTTTACCAGCTGCTTGAGAATACAAGACAGAAAATTCACTTCAGTACATAAGAAAACTTATACACGCAAGTCTTAATTAATCCCCTTTTTTTTTTTTTTTTTTTTTTAGTCGTGATATTTTTTCAGTGTCATTAAGCTGTTTATTCACCCACATAATCTAACACTTTGTTTACGCATTTCCCAGTGTTCCCATCTTTGTAGCTTATATTCTATGTCTATCCTTCCAGTTTCCTGTAAACTGGATGTGATATTTTCAGTGGAATTCTACACATATTGCGCAAAATTCTATATGTAGGACCTTTAGAAGCAGTACAAATTTCTATAGACTATCCATCCATATCTCTAAGCATAACTGTATAAAAGCTATATCTGAAATTTTATACAATCCAATACAAGATCTCCGACTTTGTTTATAAAAAATTAAGCCATAATTCTAAAGCAGTTTAATAATGGATTTGTTGTGCTCTGATTAATCTCACGTGTGTGCACTCAATGGAACAAGCCCATTAAATTTATCATGGCAAGGAGTACAAGACTAATGTGTCACTGGAAAGAGCCTTGGGCACCATTTAAAAGACAGTATAATTTTTCCCAGCTCCACCCCTATTTTTAAAGAGCAGCCTGGGCGATGGTTCCGAGGGTCTCCCACCACTTCTTCCCTATCACCAAACCACACGAGAGGTTTTTCAGCTTGCCATGTATTTAGTGTCCCCATGCTGAAAAGACACTGTACATTTACAAACAATTATACATGTAAACTGTATTATATATGTAAACTGTTTATGAGGATTTAATCATGTTTAATCATTTTATATTTAATTTTGTTTTCTATCAATAAATGGTTTATTTCTAAATTTATCCACATAATTATATAATAAATGGTTTATTTCTAAATTTATCCACATAATTATATAATAAATGGTTTATTTCTAAATTTATCCACATAATTATATAATAAATGGTTTATTTCTAAATTTATCCATATAATTATATAATAAATGATTTATTTCTAAATTTAGCCACATAATTATATATACATCAGTTATTAATTTAATTTCCATTCTACTTAAAGCTAAACTAAACTTGACGGTGCAAACAGCCCTTAGAGAGCCCTTAGCTCTGTATTTTTTTGTGTGGATTATTTTCTCGTGCTCTTGTGCTGTAGTGTGCATTTAAAATTACACAAGTGCTGTGTATTATGGAGTATGGAATGAAATTTTTCCCCGCTAACCAGAATGGATCCCTTGACCATAGCTCGTCACCACATGGCTGGATTACCTGGCAAAGTATGTGGATTCGCAACCGTACACTGGATAATAATTGGAGTGAACTTCTGAAAAGACTTAACTGATTATGTGGGTGCTTTGCACCATGTGCTCCAAGTTAATATTGAAATGTGTGAATCGGTCTTTACTGGATTAATTAACGCAGAGTCGGAACAAGTCAAGCAGGACTGAATTACGAAATTCCATACACGACGTGGCATCCCCGAAGATCTGCTGCAACTATATAAAAGTAAGTGCGAGTCCTTTGGTGCTTTGAATCAAAGTTATGCTAATGTATCTTCAAATTGTGTTATTTTGGATAATGTTACTAAACATGTTAAAGGTAATATTAGTAGTAATGCCATTAACTGTAATGCTAGTAATAATGATGCTTTAACTGCAAATGTTAAACCCAGAAAGCCTTCTAAAAAGATAAAAAAAGGCATCACTGACACGCAGGATGCCGAAGGTTTTCAGCAGCTGTAAAACATGGGTCGACCTCAAAAACTTGTAAAATGTAACATTGAAATTCCTATACAAAACAAATTTGAAAATCTAACCATTGATTCTGAAACAAATACTGATGATAATATATCTGTGGACAGTCAACCAGATTTTGCTAGTGTGCTAGTTTGCTGCTCCCAGAGTTAAACCCATTATGATTAAGCTGAAAATCAAGATTTCTGATTTCTTAGAGGTCTTAAGAGCTGACACTGAAACTTAATTTTCTGGAACAGTGGGGAGGATTCTAAAAATATTTCCTAAGTCGGAAGATGATCATAGAGCTATTATGAGATATCTTGATGAGAAAAAAGTAGACCATTACATTACCACATTAATAAAATGGAAAGACCAGTCAAGATAGTCATTAAGGTACTCAACACAGACTGCCCGGTAGGTGAAATACAGGAGAAGCTAATAATTAAGGGTTTCAAAGTTAAAAAAGGTCACTCAGATGCATAGATTAAGAAGAAGAGCACCTATGCCTCTGTTCCAGGTGCACCTGGAAAACACTCCAGGTGTCGATAAAATTTATGATCTTACTCATGCATTTTTATTTTATTTCATGTATTTTTATGTAACTGTTACTGCTTACAAAGTGAAAGGAGGTGTTGTGCAGTGTCCTGACTGCCAACACTTCAGTCACTCCTGATATGTGTAAAGATACGTTAAGTATGCTGCGCTCCATAAAACTGAAGACTATATTGCAAAAGAGGATTGAAAATATTAAGTGTTGCAACCGTTTACAAACCGGCCACAGCACGAACTATCACGGATGTCCGAAGTTCCCCTCTGCAGTCGCGGACACTTAGACAAAAGGACATTATGCCGACAATGAGGCTCGCTTTTCCCAATGTTTTAAGATTTCTAATACTTTCACATTTCATTACTACTTTGCTCAACATATCAAGCTACATACATTCCCGTATAAAGTTGTTTCGCTCCCCCCACTAATGAAATTTCCCTGTCAGGAAGTAGAGTGATTTGCCCTTCTCCTCGCCACACTGGAACTACTTTTTTTTTTTTTTTTTTTTTTTTTTTTTTTTTTTTTTTCTGAAATGCTATTTACACGTTAGGCATCGCATATTTATTAATCTGAGATGGGGCTGTAGTCCAAGAATTTGTGCCTCCTGGCCTTCGGCCCAGAGGCGTAGCTGGGGTTTTCAGATTAAAGATTACAATTAAAGATTTTGCACTCCTTTCTGTATGCCAAGAATGGAAAACATTTCATTCTGAAATTTCATAATATCAATTTGGCGCAAGCTGGATGCTGCGCCTGGGAACACATAAACCCCCCCTTGACCTACCCTAGCTACGGCCACCTAACAGGAGTAAGTTTAGTTTATGTAATTACGTCAAAGCCAGAGGGTATCTGCCTAAAGGGAGGGATACCTTCATGGACTAAGGAAAACTGGCTTCTATACACATTACACATGGGGAATACTACAAAAACACCCATGCAGCCAGTTGTTCGAGGGGCTCAAAATTCGGACCGAACTACCAGTGCTCAGCGACTTTACTGCTGGACCTAATAGAAATACAGTGACCGTTTTACTTAATATATAACCAGTCTCTTCCAGTGAGAATTGCTTTTTTAGCCTAGACCTTTATAAATGCGTTGCTAGAAAAGGAGAAAAATGTTCGAAATCTGAATACCGAAGTAAAATTCACTATTATTCTTGAATTATGCTTTTAAAGGAAATATTGGCGGTGGAGCGTTAGATTAGCAACCCTATTTTATTTTGTTATTAAAAAATAATAAAAGAGAGAATTTACAAGATTATAATGACTGGCAAAACATGCTTAAAAATCATTGTCACCTGGCAGTTCATTTTACCATTCTTAAAATAAAAATAAGCAACTCTATTAAAGTGTCGGAATCGGACATTCTCATTTTTACCTATCAACTTTGGCCGTTATGATACAACTTCAGAAGTTAATACTGAGGAGCTGAATTATTGCATAATTTTTATTTAGGAAAGAAAAATGATTTTATATACTATATATACATATATATATAATTTATTTACTAAAGAAATATTCATTCAGCTACTTTTTAAGCTAAGAATAAGCAATTTATCTCATGTTTGTGGGATTAAAAATCTTGAAATTAAATACACGGTTCTGTAACATCATTTTTACTGACCACGCCTCTCGCTTAAAACGTTACTTAGAATGGTTTAAGTTTAGAGAAATAAATTATTGTA